CACACACACACACACACACACACACACACACACGTAAATAGAATACAAGTCGTTTAAACGAAATATCTGAAATACATTCTTGAATAATTTTTTGAAACTCCTTTTTGAGGAATAGTTAAAATAAACGTGATGTGGAGCAGGAAAGTCTCGATTTTTGTAATTTTCCCTGCGAGCTAGCAACGTATTAATAAATCGTAAAAATACAAATATTGTTTCAGGTTTCTGTTTTAAAATGACATGCAAAATTCTTCAGCTGAATAACATAAAAACAGGATTCAGACCAATTAGGAAGACAAAGGATGATTAAAATGTACCCTAAAAAGCCAAGAATCTGAATAAGTGCTTTGGTCATTTTGACCACATTTAATGTAATTCTCAGTTTAATGTAATGGGTCACATATAATCATTGGCTCAATAATAAGATAGCCATAGATGGCTTACAGTGCTAATTCTGAGCCTCTGGCATTAAGATAAGGTCTCCTGTATCCTCTCAGGCACCTGGCCAGGCTCCCAACAGTCCACCATTCAGACACCATCCGCTACCGTTTAGACCAGAGAGACAGAGCCCACAGTTTGGCCAGCCACGCTGCACATGCCAGCCTTTGCTTGGAGAGCAGCGCGTTGGCGCACAGACGAGGACATTGGTTGTGAATTTTAAGCAGTGGGAAGTGATTTATCCCTGACGATGAGTCAATGCTCGCTAGCTCTGCGAATCAAACCTACTATTTTTATTGTAACTTGAATTTTGTGAATAAGAGATTATAAAGTTATGTTTTTACCTATATAACCTTATATATACTTTCTCAATGTGAGGCGACAGACACTCAAACTGATTGAGAGGTTAATTTCTTTAGCTAAACTTGAGAATTCAGAGCAAACAAAGACCCCCGGACCGTGACACTTTAAAACAAACCCCATAAAATGTCTTTTTTTTCTGTGTAGAAAATAAATAAATGACTCAAAGTACTAGAGAGCAGAACTGCAGTGAACCCAGTTGAGCGTATTGATGGGTGAAGAACTGCAGACAAGCAGGAATCYTCTGGATTTTCCCCTCCATGCCATTTCCCAATCGATGAATTATTCAAGAGGGAAGGAGGAAGGTTTTGTCCCCAATCAGAGGAACATTTTCATGACTCAGATCTAACAACAAGAATGAATGAATGAATGAATGAATAAATAAATAAATAAATAAATAAATAAATAAATAAATAAATAAATAAATAAATAAATAAATAAATCACCTTTTTTGGGGGGCAAAAGGTAACTTTATAAGGACTTGAGTCAAATTTATTAACATTTTTTTCTGCTTAAAACTCTCCAGTAATTCATTGTTGCTTTCACTGACTCAAATAACAAGTAAGAAAAAAAAGGTGAATCTTGGAACATAGTGTAAAAATATCAAAATTGGTGAGAAATTAGTTTGGTTCTCTTTCATAATTTTCATAGTGCCACTACCTTCCAAATGCAAGGGGTCTCAGGCAGTTATTAGTGTATGGGTTTGTCCAAAACGTGACTGGCAGAGTTGTTTGAGGGGGCGGAGTTTGTCCTAAACGCCATAGGTGGAGTTTTTCATAAACATTATTGGTGGAGTTTGGAATATAGACAGTGGTTCTTGGGTATGAGTGGAGATTAGCAAACCTGTGATTGGTCAAGTTTACTTTTCTTGTGGGGCAAGAAAAAACATGAAATTATATATATATATTTGTAAACAAACTCCTCCCACAAACCAAGAAACTCCCACTTAGTGACTGCAGAGAATCTCTTCTCTCTAAATGGGGACCGTTTTTACTACTTTTAATTGATGTCAAATTTTAGTCATCCAGGGTATGACAATTCTATTAAGGTTAAGAAAAATAACTAGTCCTGAGCTTTAACTGTGTGATGATGGTATCAATAATGTCAAAATCTGGATTGATTCATGTACCTCAAGGATGTAAAGGACTGTAAAACATGCAATTTTTCACATCCAGACTGTTATTAAAAATCCCATTTGGACAAATCTGGGCAAAAAAAAATCATTTGTGTGACTTTTGCCTGTAGTAACTAAGAACTTCTATAGAAAAAGCATAAAGTTTGTGTTTGCAGAACTATCACTTTAGGTTTTTCATCTGGCAGAAGGTTGGTCTGACTGGTGCCTTGTGTTCAGGATGCTGGGTTTTTTTTTGTTGAAGTGATTGCAGAAAATATGGAATAATTGCCTATTCTGAGCTTGGGCTTTTGCAGCTAGCTGTTCCTAAGAATTATTGTCTTTGATGTCATCATCTGCACTTTAAAAACAGCTGTGAAGAGCAACAAGGGACGGCGTGCAACAAAACGGTGCAGCTTCAGAGTCCCCTTGAGTGAAACTAAAATAAGGGAACGAGGCAGTG